TAAGAGTAAATCGGAGATGGGATTAAGAGGTAACAAGTAATGTACATCTCATCAAGCTACATGTGCTTATCCATCAATGTTGGAGTGGCAATCTTCCAGACCTTCTACTACTCATCTAGTTAACTCATTACTCTACTTTTTCTGCCCTTCCTAAGCGAACACCACTATAGTTAACTATATCATGAGGAGTAGACGTTTTGCCACCACTATAGTTAACTACTTGAAACAGAATCGGCAATCTAGTACCACTATTCTTAAGGTTAACTATTCCGGATATAAAAGTCGGTACATAATTGCATAATATGCAAGTAGAATAATTGCATATCATCTTCATCTGAACCATCAGCTGATTCACGTTCCTATTCAGGAGCATCTTCACTGTCGTACATATGCATGATAGGACGATTGGGGATATATTTTTCCCAAATGTTCCGTGTAAGCGATTTTGGAAGGTCTTTGTGTAATCTATCTGGCTACTGCTGCTATTTTATATACTCGACGCCTCGATCTCTTTTGCCGATGAAGATGTCGCAGCGGCAGCAAGCTCATGCCGTCCGTGATGACCATGGTCCGAGCGGAATAATTTACACAATTTTGCTCGGTCACATCGGCTCGGTCTGTATGCGTGTACATAGCTATAGTGGCGCCCTCAGTCACATCACTATAGTTAATTACATTTATTGATCACGGGCCGACGTGCACCACTATAGTTAACTAGAAAATGAACTATGCTGATCTTCGTTACCATTACACCCATTTAGTGACGTTTTTAGTGGTTTAGTGGGTCATTCCAATCTAGTGGTAGAAGGTTTGCAATCTTCAATGAAGACCTAATGATCTGTATGCGATTAAACCTTGAATATACATAAAAATGAAATTACTCGATGGGACCCTTGAAAACGTAACCTTGTTGAAGGGACCATACAGGTTTCAATATACCCAATGGATCACATCCGGCGGCAACCGTCAGCGATGTTCTTATAACCTATTGATCTACTCTATACAGTGGGGAGTGTCCACCACTGTCGGGCCATAGTATTTTGGCGACTCCTTCACAGCCATGTCTAACAAAACGACGGGCACCATGAGTCTGAACCGTGATTTCATCTTTCTACTCGAAATAACCCAATATGGAACATCACTTACGGTGGGATTGAAGTCCGTAGATGGGGTCTGTAGTTCGGGTAAAATGAAAAATGTTTTGAGTTTCCCCGGGTTTCCATCAAGTAATTTCCTCATATATGAAGGACTGGAGATCCATTTAGTTCATGATTAGTTCTCCAAATATTTTAGAGCTATATTTTGGTGAAGATGGAATTTTCTCCAAAAAAACATTGAATATATTTATTGAACACCACATAGAATTGTATTGTAAAAGCATTATATCTTATTATATTTTTAATTTAAATTTGAATTTTTTTCTAAGTAAGACATCGGAATTTTTATTTGAAGATTTTATGGATTTATATTCAAAACTTTCACATGTAAAATTTACTGTTAGATGGCTGTTCACATGAAACGAGACATGATGTACCTCCTATGTATCGATTTTTTGCTTGTTGTTGGGTATGGCTTCACTCTCTTTAAAGGGGTTATTTAGTGCAATGTGTCAATGTCATGAATTTTACATTTATTTAAAATGTGAAAAATGTTTATGAACGAACTTAACAAATATCAAGGCCGCGATCACTATGTATTATTCATCATTCAACATAAAACTATCGGATGATTAGCACCGTGAATTTGCACTATAGCTTTCAAGATTAGATTCTCATGTCCAAGCTACTTCATGTACCATAGCTCAAACCCGCAGTATTCTAGTAGACTCTAATCTCATAAGATTTCCAACCTCCCCATCTTCCATTCCAGCCGTTATTCAATTTCCTACAACTCCAAACATCTAAAAAAGATGTAGGCCTTTAAAGTAACTAAAATCTTTCAAAATACATCTTCAAATAGGTTTGCTACCTTTTGGCAAATTCCAACATCTAACTCTTCACAATGAACAGGCCATCTTCAATCGCAAAGTATGCACGAAAGATGAAAGCCGATCGATCTCTTCTGCTATGATTTTCAAACCATGTCTCTCCCACATTCCACACACGTACTTTGATGAACTGGAGTCACGCTGCGATGCATCGGTCGATGAACCAATATTGTTGTTTCTGGTCAAAATCGCTGCATTTGTGATTGTTGGAAATAGCTGGAGATTCACTTGACGACTTCTTTCCCGTTACAACCAACAGAGCCATATACAGAAATCCTCCATGAGCAGATCCTGCATTCTTGGCCACTCATACATCCAACAACGTCCTTTCATCTTCCATACACTGAGAAATTGATGTTGTACCGGCAACACCACTTGCATTTGGCTCGACAACTGGTGTTGCAGAATAGTCACCGTTGTGGGTCCACGCTTCTTACAATTGGCTCAGCATGACGATCACAATTGTTGGGAAAGAGGGAAGGCATAAGTGTGGTCGCCCCTTGTTCCCAACAACACCTAGAAGTGCAAGGAGCTTCTAATAAACAAACCCTCCCGGCCTTCTCTTCCTAAGCTTTCCAAGGTTCACTTGCAGGTGCAACAACGACCATGGAATCCTGAAATGCATCCTAAACACCTCCCTGTCGGCGTGCAAGTTGAAACTTGGAAATAACAACACCCGTCATCAATCGAAACCGGCTCCTTATTTGAAACTAAGTGGAAGAATGATAATATCAACTTGGGGCACTACTGTACTAAGTCAAGAACTAGACCTGATCTTGGAGTGTCCAATTCGTCTGGTTTGTGCTTTCTCTTGACAGTGATTGCTATTCTCTGTAAAGCTTGTTGTTAAAGGCTTTCCTTAGCGTTGCATCTCTACCTTGAGATGATGTCAGTTGGTTTCAACAATCTTGAATTGTGAAAAAGTACTGTCCACTTGAATTCTTCATTATTCTTCGCTATTATAGAAGTGAATACCAACGAGGGGAAAATACCATTGTGGCGCAAATCTATTTTGGATGTGGTCGAAACAATCTACAAGACTCTGACCATGCTCAAAGTAGACACCACCAACCAAGACAGGTTCAGAGTTCATGTAGAACATGTTCGAGATGTCATTTTTCGTTGGTAAGTGAGATACAAGCCCTACGAAAGCAGACACTTCCACATATTTAACCGATGATTAATCATGTGTGTTCACGACAAACCCCAACCATTCACGACACTAACTTTATAACAATGAATGATCTAGATAGACAAACGGGTTGAAGACTTTACTATTTAACTTAGGATTGAAAAGAAGGGGTTTATCAGACCTGAGTAATGTAGGCGATCGTATGCCGAGACGCCAAAACTACCTAAACTATTAGACTCGCCCGGCGCGCCTACTTATCCCGCAGAAGTCCAGGGTAGCATCGTGCATAGGTGTAACATTGAATTTATTGAGCCTTCGTTATAGACTGCAAGTGAGGTTTCATTCGAATAGTCGATCGGAGCCATAAGTGAGTGAGTGAAAAGGCTGTACTAAAATTTTTGAGCTCTAACCTCGTTAGGCAATGGACTCCAAGTTGAGTGAAAGATGATGCTTTTTGCTCCAAGGAAACCATCTGCTTGAATTACCATCCTAAACTCTCCAGATATGTCTTAATCCTGTAGATTTGCTCTTGAGTCCCCGACGAGAAACATTCACTGCGTTGCGTGTGAGATGAGAGTCGATAAAATCTGAATGCGAAAGCGCAACAAAGGACATGTCTCTTCCGAAAACTCTTTTCCTGACTCCCAAATGAACCATAGTACTGAAGAGCTATGATGTGTGGCATTCAGTTTGGCAACCAATTTGAAGTAGAGCCCTGTTTTGGCGACCGATTTAAACCTCAAGATAACTGCGTCAGCCTCCAACTTAGTTGAATCGTGGAACAATTCTTTGAAAGAGTCAAATCAGTTGACCAGCTAGTGTTCAAAGTCTCCCTTGACCATGTCCCAGTTCACTATCAAACGCCTGCAAAGCCGTGGATCTCATCGATAAGGAGATGAAAGGAACTTGAGACAATAAAACGGACTGCGGTCCGCTACTCCTCTTGAGGGGAGGGGAGAAGATCCTTCCACAGTGCATGTAGATGATGAACTCCTGATGAATTCAGATTTATCAGAGTAATGGCTCGAAGCAAGAGAAAGAGATGCCATTCCCCCGCGTCGTCTGTGGGTGCTAATAGCCCGAAAAGGTAGAAGCAAAATTGTGAGGAAACTCGCTTCTTGCTCGAGCTCTCAGAAGGGTACAAATGCTTCAAAGTGACGAAGAATTCGATTCCTTCTACTCGAATCAAAATTTTCAGTCTTCTGGCGTGGATGCTATTGAGCAATTCGAGCACTGATTTGCCTGTGAATACTTGTTACTTCACACAGCGCCTACACAATCCTAAACGAAGGTCTCCTGGTGCGACTAGATTAAGCTAGATCAGGTAATGCAGGCGCCCGACTAAACTAAACAGGCCGGGACATATCTGTTTCAAGAAAGGGTGAATAAAAGGCGAATGTAAGCAGCGTCACAGACATTTGCTGTTAATCAACTCTGACCGTGTCTTGGTTGGTGATGTCCTTGCATGAAATCTACAGTCAAAATCATTTGTGCATATGAATAGCTCCAATTGCGGCACATATTCAGGAGAACACGTCGACTTCCTGGATACCAAGTATCCCCAGTATCTTCAGTTTCCATTTATATGTTAAAAAAGGAACTATTTGACCATCCGAATTCAATCACTATGTCTACAATACACAACATCATATAGTTAAGTCGGGAAGGCACGGACAGGAATTACTAGATGCAAGTCCGCACAGCAAGAACGCATGTGAAACATTCCTTTCTTGGGCGAAGTAAACCAATGGATTGGTTGGTTTCCCATGTCCCCAAAAGGCAACATATAACCATGCAAAGTGCAACCGTGGCAGTAATCCGTGAGAAGAAACCTCACAAAGATTTCCAAAACGGGGTTCTGGAAGGTTTTCGTAGGGGTAAGGGGCAAATACTGACCTCGCCTCCTAAGACGAAATTCCGTAATTTATTGCATTTGAAAGACTAAGGCTACAAACCAACATTTGGCATGAGGTACAAAGGACGGTTTGAAGAAAGGAAGATACCGAATCTGAACGAGAACACAGTTGACCAACTGCTTCCAAGTATCACAAGTGTGGGAGTCATCATAAGAGTGGGAAGCAATGTATCGTGAACACACCAATAGCTGGACTATCATCTGCTCAGATGATTCCATTTGCTCAATGAATTGCTTGCATCAGTACGAGTCAACAGTGAATCTCCTGAACCTGATCTTTTGACCTTCCAGAATACTCTGGAACATGGAATATTAGTCTAGTAGGATCTTTCTGTTCTACTGGTCTGATTCTGAAATAGTGAAAGTACTCCAAACTGACCTAACGTATCCAGTGATGCTAACCTTCAGCTTCGTCTAGAAGATTGAAAGCAGCAAAAAGTGGTTTCCAATCAGGCTTGCCGTCACGTCCATACCCCATTAAGCTCCGTCGTGTACACGTCATGCTGGCCATATATATCTGCTCGTACACAAAGGACGACGAAGCGATAAATCTTTGTAGCACTCGCCTGGTTTGCTCCGATAGAAACTAGCAAGCTAGTTACCACATGGCTTCGTCCAAATACACGACTAATGGAGAGACGCGCATTAGACTCTTGTTACAGTTTGTTGCTGCTCAAGACACTCCGTACAGCACAAGCCGTGTTTCTTACTCCGTAGCTTGCTCCCAAATATTCCTCTTCATGCGATGCGTTTGCAGAGTGAGCTCATTAGAGGACAACTCTCCCACCATGATCTGGCAAGATTCAGATATACATTCAAGGGGCCTGCATACAAGCAGCACGTGTCAGCCCGTCCAATTGGTTGAAGATGAGATAAGTACATCAAGTAATATGGAAAAGGAAGTACCTTATAAGATACATGTTGTACACCTAGAAAGGTAGAAACCTGCAAACCGCAAGAAAGACAAGTCCATTTCAATAATCGACCTCAGACACCAACACAAGCAATGAAATCCAACGCCCGCAATCCTACAGTATTACATGCTGAATAATCAAATTAAAAGACGAAACACAGACATCTCTTGGGCTTCAAGAACTTGAAAGCGACACTAACTTGCCTCTATCAGTTAGCCACATCCTCTAGACTAGTGACAATTAGTCTCGAGCTAGAAATGAGTAAGCTACACAGAGATGGGCCATATACTTTACGGATTCAAAAGCGATGTCAGGCCACTTTCAGCACTTCAAATTGTGCCTCCAATAGCAAAGTCAAAAGGCGACCATGGTAATGTTAGAATTACCTTCAAGAGTGGCGTGAATGTCAGCGTGATCAGTCAAATAGGTCAGAATCATCTGCTTCACTTGTCAGATGTCAGATATAGGAGAGGAGTTCCATCAGTACCGGCGAGAACTAAAATCCTGATCGTTATAGGATCTTACATCGAACCAGAACTCTGCCCTCATGATCCCGTATGATAATATTAAGGATTCTTGTCACTTGCACAAAGTCACCTAGTCCGAAATCTATATCCCTAAAGCGGGAGAAAGCTGCCCACTCAACCGTATATTGAGTCAAGACAACAACTTCAATCTAGCTTTGGTGACAAAATATGACAATGACATCTCTTGATAGATACTCTGATAAAAGCACTGCGCAAGAGACTTATCTCGGCCACAAACCGGAATGACAAAGTCACTATGCCTACAGCTGCGTTGTCACCTATGTAATCAATCTATTGAAAGTTTAACCGTCCAGAAGCTGGCATTTCCAAAGAAATCTTCTAGCGAACGGAGGCAAAATCAGATTGATTCCAGACGACAGACGAACCTTATGGAGGAGACATTCTTGCATCTAGACTCTTACAACCACGACGTAAGATCAGCTTACAACAAGAAACATGGCCAACACCATTTTAGAAAACTATGTAAAGTTGCGATGAGTAAAAAAGACGTATCTAGAAAGCATAAGTTAAATCTTATCCTTAGTCACATCGTTCAAGTCTTGATCATGTTAGGGAATTCTTTATATGCATGTCATAAACAACATCAATCCGAGCTTCCAAGTTAAAAATTATACACGTCAATTAGACTGGCAGATTTCCATGAACATGGAGCCGTATTGAAGCAAGCTGAGCACCACCTCTTGCACAGGACCATCAAAGAATGGTAATGTTTCTGCTTATACGAGCAAAGAATGAGACAAAAAGAATGCCATCAAGTCATGAGAAAGTACTTCCAGAACGACCTCTCATGACGCCTAGTAATCAAAAGGTGGCATCTTTGTTCACCTGACGTCAGCATAGTGTTACAAATGATGCTGGCCAGGAACTACTGCAATATGTGTTGTAGTCAGATCTAGGATGTCGCCGATTATCTGACAATAGCTTGAATTCCTAAAAACTGCCTTACAACTACCGCTCATTTGGTCTAGAGTTAAAGCCTACAAATTACAGCTTATATAGTAAATGACTGCACCTTCTTGATTCGTACGGAGCTGGTGATGTGGACTCAGTGCACCAAACTCCCTTCTTTTGAGCCTAAAAGCACCACCATCTGAACATCTGCACTGATTATTAATGGCCTCTGCAAAATTGAGCTTTGTGAGTGGGTGCCCCTCCGACTACATCAAAGAGGCAATAGGGTGATGATTAACGTCTGGTCTTCGCTCTTTTCATGCCTGGATTGTTGAAAGGAGACACGGTTCCACTCATGTAGGCAGGGCTGTCCTCCCTCAAAGTTCCGTTTAGAATAGCAAGCTCTCTGAGCTGGGCCTTCTTCACCAGATCAAAAGTTTCATCCTGAAATCCACATGACAAAGAGCACTTCAGTTTTAGAAAACTAACACGGCATGTTATCCCTTCATCTATCACTTCCATGTAGGTCCCAACTAAGTTGTCCAGTTAGTACAGAATCAGATTGCATATATGGAAAGATGAACTTCTTCTTGTGCAGGAATATCAATTGCAGCTCAAAAACTTAGTGTTCGCAAACCCTGCGTCAACATCGCAATTTGCAATATAACGTACCACTGGCTTCAAAAGCTCCTCCAGAATCTCTCGTGCGTGACTGAGCTGTGCATCAATGACGCTAGCGGGTAGTTCAGCCTCTACTAATACATGCAAAGGCTCATTCAAGTGTTCGAAACCAGGCTTATCTCTCATCTTGTCTTCCTGCTGGATACAACCCAACGAGTCATGGAACAGTGGAAGCGCAAAATCAGTATCCTGTTGAAAATCGTTTGGAGAAGCAAACAACATCCCATCGCGACAAGCCAACTCAAATTCTCTGTGCTGTCAATTCCCGGCTTTTGAAAGCATGCGCGCGTCTTCGATATAATAAATAAGAGTTGTGGATAAAGCACTGGCCTGCAACGACATTCCTAGCATTCTATTGAAAACCGTTCAGGGTGAGATGAGATATATTCTTCTCGAGTAAAAGAGTGGCACAATGCATTCAAACGTTTAAGAACGTTTTGCCTTCTGTCAGTCAGTGTTTTCCCTCCCCTCAATTCTCTCTCTGAGTCTCTCTTAATAAAATTACAATATAATTGGTGATATAACTCCACGGCAACCTGTGGACCACAGGTATGCTCGCAAGAAATATAATCGCACGATATAGACATGCCAGTGGGGTATGCCCAAAGTACATCTGCAATGGCCTGCAACGACATTCCTAGCATTCTGTTGAAAACCGTTCAGGGTGAGATGAGATATATTCTTCTCGAGTAAAAGAGTGGCACAATGCATTCGAACGTTTAAGAACGTTTTGCCTTCTGTCAGTCAGTGTTTTCCCTCCCCTCGATTCTCTCTCTGAGTCTCTCTTAATAAAATTACAATATAATTGGTGATATAACTCCACGGCAACCTGTGGACCACAGGTATGCTCGCAAGAAATATAATCGCACGATATAGACATGCCAGTGGGGTATGCCCAAAGTACATCTGCACTGGATTGATGCAGTGACTGATCTGACTAAATTTCCAATAAGAGAGAACTAGCCGTTGATCGGAGTAGCAAAGCAAACACGACTTCCAAGTTAGGGTTAGAATTGAAGAGGTTGTGAGAACTCTAATCAGATACTTATCCCAGGACTTCGGTCACTACCGTTCAGGAACAGTATGTCTCAATGACTAGACCGGCAACAGTGCCAAGACATCCTACATGATGGTGAATATTTTCAAGTCTTGGCTCTTCCACACGTTCTTGCAAGGCTAGTAGAAAGAGAGAGAATAACATGGGTCGGAATGATCCCTCAAAACCTCAAGAGCGAAAGACATCACACCACGGCCAGAGGCTAAACGTCCAAAATTGAAATAAAGCAAGCCATTTGTCTAACCTTAGCACTGTCTTTGATTGACCCCCGTCCTCTGATAAGCACACGACATCCAGTGGTCGCCTCTACGCGCTTCAGTGAGTTGCCCCGAGGCCCCAGAATCCGCCCAACAAAATTAAACTGCGAGCAATGTCCAAAGTGACAGAAAAAAGAAACAAAGAATTAGGCAATCAATCCGGTATTCAAACATTAGCAATCAGTGGACTTGTAAAGTCCTAGTTGGGCTACATGAAGTTCGAGAAATGCAAGCCGTCTGCGAGATCAGTTTTTTAAATTGCTCTGTAAGATACTGCAACTATAATATGCTCTATGCTAGTTTCGAGCCTGACTTTAGCGATTATCAAAGGTGAAAATGATGTCCAGAGTTGTAACTCGTGGTCCATAATCAAATGAAGCTTACATTTGGGTACTTATCAACAGGAACTTCGATGCGTTGAGTCTTCTTTATGATGGGCCCTCCAGCAGTGCCTGGGACTCCATGCCAACCCATAGTGGCTCCTTGGGTGGAGATCGCAAGCCTCTGCGTCTGATCACAAACATATTTCATGAATTCTATCAAATCTCATCAGGGCAAAATAATTAAAACCGCTCCTCTGATATATGGAAGGACGAGGCCTCTTTAAAGATCTACATCTTATAATAATGATGATAAGTCCAGCGTCTTGCGCGTCTATATTGGGGAAAAGGACTTGGGTGAGGTACCTCTGGTAAAAGTCGCACATCCGTCTGCATGCCGACCCCACCCCAACCATTGTGATCGCCTTGTCCACCGTTTCCTACAATGTGGGGGGATTCCCATGACGCAAGAGGACTCCCATGATCGAGCCCATCTTGTTCCAAAAAATTCGAGTTTCCCACCAGAGCTGTCACTCTTACAATTTCTGAAACACAGCATCCATTCCAGGATGAGACTGTAGACCATGACAACTTCTTGGGGATGAAACTCAAGTAGTGTACCGGAGGTAGACAAATTCCAAAACAAAATCGAAAGCCTACAAATCAGGTCGCCTTTTCATTTCACAAAATTAAAATTTACAACAATTCATGTTTGCAAAGGTGAGTCATAAAGATGAGGAACTGAGAATTATCCCAGTTCCTCCGCTTCATAATGGTCTTACGAACAAAATTAAACACATTGACATCCTTAATCACATGCTGAGGAGACCAATTTACTGAGCGAGAACCAACCTTCGAAGAGAAAGAAGCTTCTGAAATTCCAGGAGGTATACGAGACTACGACTTCACAAGAACATCTGCTAGTTTTGCAAGTTATACACCAATTGATTTGTGCAGCGATACATAACCTCTCAGAGGTTAAAAATTTGAGGAGAGACTGAGTTGCACCTTGATTCAATAGGCGGCTGCAATTGGGTAAAACCTGCATAAATGGGCCAAGCTTTTGACGTTCTGCGAGCAGCTCGGAGAGGTATCTGCAGGGAACAAACCGTAATACTATCAATGACTGTTGCCTCGCCACGGGAGCCCTCCATTCCCAATACTACTCGCCTTTCAAATCGAATGTCATGTTGATCATACTTTGTGTAGAAATAGGACAAGTCTCATAGTGATGCGATAAGATCAATGATCCCACATGCACGAGGGGAGAAATATTACCAGAACAAAATCACCAAGAAAACAAAGAAATTTCAAAGAGCCACAGTATCGGACAATTTAATCCATCCACATAGAAACATTTCGCAGTCAAGGGTCACACTTTAACTTCACAGTCAGGAATCCAGTTTCTGACAGAAAAAGTCACTACCACGGGGAACAAAGGTTCGCATACAGAGACCACATACTTCACATTCTCACAAGCCCTTGTGTCAGGCAAGTGACATCCGTACCGGTAAGCTAGGAAAAGAAATACAGAGGAGCTGAGTAGTGACTCCTCGTCACTTGCTACACTAACGAATTAAAAAGTCATAACCGTCGGGCGCGCGGTCCAAAGATCATTCTCGTTGGACATTACCCTCTACACTCGCCACGCCATCTTCACAACCGTCAAGCACGCTTCCGAGGTGGGATCAACGAAATTCCAAGGAAATAAACAAGCAGGCGCACCATTCACGCCCCCGAGACCCAACCCCATCACAGAAGCGGCCGAAATTCCAGGCCAGGAAGGAAAAAAAAACAACAATCCCGAACGTACTTATCATGGTCGGCAGCTGCGCTCGAGGGTCGTAGGCCTGTGAGCTGGGGTGAGGACCCAGAGGAGGGAGAAAATTGAAGGTATCGACCTGCCATTTCCGGATTCATTCTCGCCGTTAGCGAACCACTCCTAACCTCCTTCTATGCCCTCATCTCATCTCTGCCCGCCTCCTCCTCCTCCTCCTCCTCCTGATCAGCCCCAACCTCCCCCGCCCCTCCAACTCCCTCCCTTTCTCCCTTCTGCGCAGCCCTTCCCTGCCCTCGCTCTCGCTCTCTATCGCTCTCTATCGCTCCCTCGTCTCTCGTAATCGTCGTCAGCCTCCCGTCCCTCGTCGACGACCTACAATGTCATCTTTCCAATTTCCCTCGTCGTCGTCGTCAGCCTCCTCCTCCTCCTCCTCTCCCCTCCCCTTCCCCTTCCTCTTCTCTGGTCTCCTCGTCTCGTCTCCTCTCTTGCGAGCCCCAGGCCCCACAGGGCCGCTCCGCTGCTGCTGCTCCTGTCCGGATACCGACTCGATCCGGGAGCACAATCGACCTCCAAATCCTCCTCTGGCGCCCTAGACTTTCGCCACTCTCGCGCTTCCTCCAAACCGACCGACCGTATACCGTAGACCGCAGATGCCAGTCCTGTCGCCGACGACCCCCATACGATTCGTTCGCCGCATCTTCAGAGTTTCTCTCTTCGTTCCCCGGCCTGGCTTCCAGTACGCTTTAGGGTATAAGTACGGTTCGAGTGGATAACTTCGATGATTCCGACACCTCTGCCTTTCTTCTGCCCCTTTAATGGCAATATTCGTTCCTGTGCTAGATTTCGGTATATTTTTTATCGGTTTCTTCGTAAACCTGAGCTACGTTTTATGTAAAGTAGCTCCACGCTGCTTGGTGTGAATCTCATCGGTTTGTAATATAATGGTCTATAGTTGTGATGTGGTAGCTCGCTAGTTTGTCTTATGATTGCAACGGGGTCTTGAATTAACTAGCAGCTTTAGTATCAATGGAGATAATGAATATTGGGATAACAAGTAAATTTGCTCAAACCATTATGAGAAAATACCAAGTTCAAACCAGAAAAAGATCATCACCTATAGTCACAAAGTGGATAGTGTAGTGAGTTAGTTTACTGTGATTGCATAGTTACGTCTTTGAAATGCATGAGATGTAACTCGATGCATTATCATTTCCTTGTTGATAATCATACATGAATGACATCTTTGCTTCACAATCGGACAAAGGGTAATGAGTTTTTAAAAAAATATACATGCACTCTTATTTGGATTGTGCCATTCCTCATATTACTGTAACTCAATTAAGCCTTTGCTCCGAAAAGAGAGAAAGCTTGTGGATCTTGGCATTCTTACCAACTTCTCATATAAACTAGTTTACTACTTTTTTTGGACCATGTCACGAGTTATGTGGAGACTCATGTGCACACAAATGTTAAATTTGATGGTGCAATTACCGCATGATATACTGAAATTTTTCTTAAAGCCTATACTGTAGTAGTGTTAGAAGAACTATGGTTTAGGGGATAGAGTTCAATGGAGAGCTCACACCCAAACTATGATGTTTGCTCCCGACTTGTTTCAAAACTAAAGGCAAGGGGATTCTTAAAAAAACCCATATGAATTATGACTCATTAGTTTTTAATTTTTGGAATTGAGCCTTGAAAAGTGTGGCTATGGTGGGTCGTATTTAGTGCAATAACCTGGACTTCTTGAGTCAAATAATGATTTTAGCTTCATTTTGATAGTTCATGTTATGGTGATAACCGCCATAGCTGCACAACATTTTGAGAACATACAAGATTAACGGACGGCTAGTTATTCCTTACCCTACTATACGGAAGTTAGTCATTGCTTCACTCGGGTTATAAGGTCGGTGCGGTTAAAAAAACTTGTTGATCTATTTCAAACTGCCTTCAAACATGCTGCTAAATTAGTTAAGGTAAGTGAGGTGGCTGAGATCCCTTCAAAGGTCATATGTTTATGGCCAGACCAAAATCGCAACGGCCTTTAACAGCTAACCGTTCACTCTGCAACATTCAAACCAATGACTTCTGCCATCCGAGCTTGTAAAAATACCATATGTAGCTTCCTTCTTGCGGATGGTAATTTTGTTCAACTTCATGTTGCTTTCGATCGAGCTACTGATTCAGTCAACCAAGATGCTGGTTTCATAGAGTTGCATGGCTTATACTCGAGGATTAGCTATTGTTCGAGTCTCATGTTGGGCACACTTTGGATATGCCCTTGGTGTCTAATGAACTCGGGAGTCGCCCCGGTTTTATGAAGCATGTAGGCCTTCTGAAACTATAAAATGCTAAGCACAAATATGCTCTAGATTTGAAGAAAAGAAACGTCTCGATCAAAAGGACTATAAACTCTTAAGTTTTTTTCCACCGCACGGACATTATAACCCGAATGAACCAATGAATGACATCCGTATAGTAGGATGAGGGCTAATTAACCCCAAGTGAAGTATAAGTAGCGTGAACTTGTGTTGGTATTTGAAAGACTATGTTTTGCGAGAATGATGTATGATACTATGTGATATATATCTATGTCACATCCATCTTATCCCATACTTTATCATAAATGAGCAACTACCGTATATGCAAGAATCTTATACATTAATTCATATTCATTCCAATGACAAAATATATCAGCCCATGATGTAATCATCAATTCATTTGTAATCTAAATAGATGAGTACATTTTATGAATTCAATGGTATTTTCTATTCACACGATTAATTTATAATTATAAATAGTCTATGAGTACCTCACCATTCTAAGTATGTTTTATTTGATCAGCATCATGATAGATCTACACTTGATTTATAAAAACACGTCATGATTATTTTTTATACTTCAAAATATATGATCATGATGATCAATCGATTTGCATATAGTAAATTTCTTTTTATATTAAGTCAATGTTTCAATTTTTTATAATATTATAATAAAAATATATATTAAAAAATGATTTTGCTCTAAAATTATAATTATTATTTTATTAGTATTTTCATGTAATTACATAGTTACATGTAATTCAACTGAGAATTACATGAAAATACTAATTGTCAATGTTTTGACAATTATTTAAAAATAAAAAAACAGTTTTTATTTAAATACAAATTACATAGTATAATACATGAGAAGTTACATAGTAACTATGTAATTTTCATGTAATTAAATAGTTGAATTGATATCAAATGAAATAAAAACTGTTTATTTGATGATTTAGTTGACATTGTCAAAGCTAACGATGTTTTATTCCTATTTATCTAAACTCATGTTTAGTATGGATATGATATGGACAAGGAAACCCTACAATAGTGGAAATAATATTATATATGTTTTTAGATCGTGAATCTTATGCATCGATTGAAACCTAGCACAAACTATATCATGTTCGAGTTTATGTTGGTTTAGTTTACAAAACTAATGTTTGCTATAAATTAAGGTTTTTTTAGCTTATATATTCTTGTTGAAACAAATCTTATATTTTTACTTTCAAATCCTTGGTGTTCATTTTGAGTGAGAATATACATCTCAACAATATGAACTTGCTGATTTTAAATATGAGGTCATCAAAACGGACCGTAAATCAATCCCGTTGATTTTTTCTAAGGATTGCGTTGTTGAAAACTTATAATATACATTGTGATAGTAAGAAGATTTTGCGTAAGCTACAAAAGTAAAACTAATGAGAAGAATGTTAGCTATATATAATTTATTTCTTTCATGTTTGATTATGGTTTAATTTAAGCTAATTACAATTTCTGATATGATTTATGGTTCAACTCATACAAATAATACAAATGATGTAGGTTGTAGATCTAAAGTCACTAGTTAGATATTACATTGTCTTGGATCAATCAAAATATTTATCAACTGTATCATGAGACATATCTATATACAAAAATAATATCATAATTATTTTGGCTAGAAAATATTCATTCAAAGTATGAGTACTATGCATTTAGTACTAATGTAGATCATTCATTATATATTCAAAAAAAACAAAAATTGTGTGAATAATCTGTATTACTAAATATACATTTAAATTTCAAAACCTTATTAGAAAATAATATAAAACCTTCCATTTGAAATTAAAATTGAAATGTGATGGTGCTAATATGCTATAGTTGTAAAGAAGTGTTGTATCTCAATTTTTTTCTTACAATAGAGACACAATATATATAGAATTTAAGTAAAATATTGCAGATAATTGAAGCATGTAATGAAATTATATAGAGTATATTATTATTACATCTTTTTATTTTGACTAATAAAAGAATATAGGTTTTTTAAACAATAATTTATGTTGTCAAATAACAATTTTTGTGAAATAACATAATTTCATAATACTTCACATGAAACAAATGAATTTCAATATAAAATTTACATAATAATAATTTTGTTCACGTCACACAAAATTTTGACCTTATAATTGTTGATGATGTGCATCTTTTTATAAAATGAATGGTTTACTTGTTTTTAACATAAAATATTTTAAAATGATTATGTTAATTAGATTAAACGATATAATTACATGCACTAAATTGTTAATATATTAATACAACTCCAGTTAAGAAGTAACCTAATGTCATAGCTATTTATAGCCAATACGTTTTTGAAGACTGGGGATAAATACCTCGGGGTTTGCCATGTATTGCCAGTCTTTTTGAACATGACCTGAAGTAAAGTTGCTCGAGTTTTAGGTGGACGTAGCCCTCCTTCCCAAGGCTAAACCACGTTACATCTGTCTCTCATGAGTCTTTAATGTTTTTTGGTTTTTTCGTTCACAAATGGTATTTGAGCCGAGTATTCAATTCAGATTTTTTGATAAGTTTTTTTCCATTCAGTCCGTTCACTTCGATGTATCAGAGTGATAATGAGATATCATCATACTACACATGAAGCTAGGCTTGCATGGGAGGGGCAAGGCTACCACGACCGCTCCACTCCACTCCAGCTAAAGCAAGCAGAGGAAACACTTTCAAAAGAGAAAATGGGAGCACTCACACAAGGGACATGCATCTATCTTTCTATCACACCAAATGTGGAGGCGAGTATCATGAACCGGCGTTCTGATCCAGTTCTAAAATTTTGGGCAACGTGAGGTTGAAAGTACAATTATGGTAGAAAATCAGCGGAGCTTTAGGAGACGCATGAGTCTTTGTGTCTACGGTTCTCGCATTGATATCGTCAACGGATTGGATCTCGGAAATTTTTTTGCTTCATTAGAATATCCAACGTGATAACAGGTTTTGTCTTTGAAATTCCAATGAAAGTCTAACCCATGAGTGACATAGTCGCAGTGGTCATATCTCTAAATCATCTCACATCACCCCAAATTATGGCTATGGGTA